AGATCCTCTCCCTGTGTTTCCATTAGACGATCGATTAAATTGACTTCCTTTCTGCATGGCCAACTTAGTGGATGTTTCTCTACAGTTTTGTTACATCTGGTACCATAGTGACTTCGTCAACTTCGGCGTACGAATGTTTTTCTCCATCACGGAATGGTTATGCCAGTGACTTCGACTGAAAACAGACGTTAGCAGTTTTAATCGTTTAATATGAAACTATGCTGTTTCTTCTTCTGTTGCAGATAGTATATATACTGTGATATAAAATGTACATCTACTCAGATTGACGGCACTGCACGACACTGTTACTCGTCTTTTTTACGTAGGCTTACGCTGAAGAAAGTCCCGCGCTAAAGTTTTAAGTTTTTGCTGATTTACTTCCCTATAATGCCGTTATAATCAAAACTGCACCTTTTGCACATGAAAAGTGGTATATAAAAAAAGTTTTTGCCTGTTTACTACACATTGAAAATATTTTTTTCTCAATTTATAGCTGATGTTTACCATTAAGAAAAATCGATTTCACAGCACCCCCTTTTCTAAAAGAAAAATCAAAACACAAAACAATACAAAAAAGCAAAAGTAATACAAAAACACCAAAAAAAATGTTTTCCATACATAATACGAAACAAAACAAGCTATTTCTTTCATATGTTAGCATACGATATAAAGGGTTTGAAACCCTTATAAAGTACACATTTTGCAAAATTTCATCAGAGAAGGTATTGGCAAAAATCTGGATCGTTTATATACGTATCATATACGTTTGTAGCTTTTTTTTTGGCATTTTTCGTATTTTTTAATGTTGTGATCTGCTCAGATTAAAATTGAATTGTGCCAAAAAAAATTTAAACAACGACTCAAACATAAAATGAGTCTTTATCATGCTTTTTTCCTGATAACAAATACAAATTTTGCAAAACTTTGAAATATTTCCGTATTATTATACCCTTTTTTATGAATCAATTTTTACATATAAGTTTGCCTTACACAATTTTTAATCTTACCGCAGTTTAGTAATTACAGTCTATTCAGTTGGGAATTTAGCCCTCGTTGGGACTGAGTGAAACCCGTACGTACAATGAGGCGACGGGATTAAATCTTAGATGATACTCTTCCCTTTTCTCTCCTAGTAATGATGTAATATTTAAGGGGGGTGGTTGAGATTTAAAAATCAAACTAGAGTTTAACCCCATTACATTTCGTTTTCTTAATCGTGTCTGTGTCCCACGTCAGTCGAAACATTGTCGTTATTGGTCGCATGTCATATCGTCATGACCCCCCTCCCTTTTTTTATTCTGATAACTGAGTGTTAATAGTAGATCTTTACTGTTTCTGTTGAATTTATATATATATATATCTGTCATGGAATCGAGACAATTAAGAGCGAGACATATTTGTGTGGTCACCTATCTATTTGTCGAAGACTATACATGCATCTGGTTGTTTTTTTTTTGTTTTTTGTTGTTGGTTTTTTTAATTTATTTCTGTCGTCGGGCTGCTGTTCCAATGACGTATAAATCCCATCTGATTCTCCTTCTATTTCACGCTTAATTTTCCGTGTACACTGCTAGCTGAAAAATATATCGGTTATTTCTGTAATTGGGTTACTGTCTCATTGACGTTCATCTCACATCTCTTTTTATTCGTGCATCACTTAATTTTCCGTTTGCACAGATGGCTGAAAAATATATATTATCATGTAAATCTGATAGCACTGCCAGTTTTGCTTTGTATCAAATATAGCGGATTGATTTGAATGTTTTCTACTTAAAGTCCAGTAGCAAATATTTCATGCATATTAATGCCATTATGTCAGAAAATCAAATCGTAAAGCTAATGCACATGTGTCTAGTCTATTTAAACACTTGTTTGTTTTGGTATTTTCTGAGCGAAGAAAGAAAGAATGCTCCTGAAACGCACATGCATACTTGCTTCAAATATGTTTTCTGGAATAAATCCGCTAATTCATATTCCCATTGTTTTCTATGTTAATTTATGCACTTTAAAGCCTTTATAGCTAGTATTCTATCTTAAGTTCAAATAAAGAGGCAATCACGTTATTCTGCCTTGTGCATATCTTTATTTGCATATTAGAGCATACTGGTTCCCAGAAGTTGGGTAATATAAAAACAGGTACTTCTGATTTGAGTAACAGGGCAAATATGCCCTCTATCATAATTTCGTATATGTATTTCATTATTAATGAGAAACAATCATAAAGGTTCTACAGTAATCCCAAGACCTAGAGCTTTAATTTGATACCAAAATTATCCATTGTTTTGTACTTTTTTCTAGCTCCAATGACAAGTAATACACAGTAAAGCGAATATTTTACAAATTGCCGCCAATTTGATTTTTTTCCGCGAAATTAACGCAACTTTAGAATAGCGGGCTTTACTATCAGTCCCATTGTTTTCCGACTGTCTAGGCGAACGACAAGGTAGGGAGGCAGACTTGTATATTCTGTGCTATTTTGCTAGCCCTTACTATGCAAAAAGCCGATATATCGGCTTTCAGAGTTTCCTTCGTCTGTGCCGAGAGCCGATTTATCGGCTTTGTTATTTTCTCTTCTGTCGTTAATGGCATCACAAAGGCGATGACGTCACAATGCTCTGACGGCGAATTCATGGTGGCCGGCCACGCTCCATTAATCCGCGTTTTCATCACAGAACCAGAGCACAATAAGACTTAAAGAGCAACAACAATATGAAAACGATGATGTTCAAGAAGTGAACAATATCTCAAAAAGAAATAAAATATCTATTTATTACTGTTATCTATTATATTCAAAGCAAATTTTCTTAGAATTATAGAGACAAACCGGTAATTTGCTACAGTTATTACTACTGGTTTTTTTAAGTTTCTTTGCAGAGTTTTCGTATTTCTTCACTAGCATGACAAACCTTCTTGTTTAATTAATTGAATAAATTAATTTGGTATATAATATTATGTTCAAGATGTCCGTCCTATATAGACACCGCGTTATTTGTGGTGTTCGACTGAAGGGCTAAAGTGTCCATACAGTGAAAGCAGCAACAAAATATAAACACATTTTGTGATTAATTAAGCAAAGTTGCGATAGTATCTGGGACGATTTTAGATATCTGATGGTAGTTTTTGGAAATTAGAACTTTACAAGGAACTTGTATGCTCCAATGAAGGTTCAAGGAGTGTGCAAAGTAAAATGTGTACGACTTAATGGCGAGTTCCACTAGATATCATAAATGTCCGGAACTTTTACAAACTATTATTACAAATATAGATTTATTATGGAAGTATTTTTCCTACTGCAAAAATTTAAAAAAGCACATTTACAAGTACGATGCATCACACTTAATTGATGGACAAAGTAGTAAATCTTATCATTAAAAAGGAGAAACTATCTGGAATGAACTATTGATTTCAAAATTCTAAAAAGTTAAACAAGCACTTGCAATCCAAGCACCTGTGCTATTATAAAATGCGTGTTACGCTCGATCACGACTTGTGTATTCTTTTGAATTTAATAAGTAGTTACATTGAAGTGATATACTTCATCAAATTTTGACGAGGTGTTGTTTTAGTTTTTATTTTTTTTCATGTAAGTTTATATACATAAATGAGAACGCAAGGTATTAAAATAATTTTTTGGAGGTTTCCCGGCTAACGCTAGGAAAATTGCGTCTTGTGTTCGACCAGCTTGAACTATCAAAACTGGTTGCATTAAGTATCAATTAGAATTAGTGAAATAGATAGAAGTTTAAATCATTTATGTGGAATGCACGTAAATAACGACATAAAAGTATTTGTTTTCATTTTTAGAATTGCTAAATTCTGTCGTAATAATCTTGTCTAAAACTACATATATCTGTTATGGACAGTTCTGTTTTAATGATATAAAACACATTGTGATTTGAATGGGTATAATATGTAGAATGTCAATTCCACATGCTTTTTTCAGTAATAGGAATAATAGGGTCGGTTGTCTTGTTTTGCGATATAAATTCTTCATGGCACTGATTACCGAAAACAATAAAGCGGGGAAAAAACATCAGACAACATAATGGCAAAAACAAACAAGAATATTTTTTTTCTTTAAGATATAACTATAATACTTGTCATAATAGATTCTATTCTCAAGATATTTTCCCGGTTATTATAACATCATCGTACGAAATTTATGGACTGTTTAATTGACTTACACATGTTATGACTGATACATTTCGATATTTATATACAAATTCAGTTTAAATGGTAGTTATATATCATGTATATAGTTGCTCACTTTCGGTTCGTCGTCTGTCTGTCATCTGTCCGTGTGTTTAAGTGATTGATTAATTGTTGGTTGCTTAACGTCCAGTGGAAGATATTTCATGCATGTTCAGGACGAATATTCAAACCGGACTGACACCCAGTTGATTGTTTTACGTCAAAATTATTGACAATTGAACGTCGGTTATGGCAGACCTCGCATCGAAAACATCGATCAATATGTATTTTACGAAGTGAGTGATTCTTTATAGAGTCAGCTGATAACACACAGGGAAACCACCCGCACTCAAAACATAGATCAATTTTGTTGTTATTACATTCAAACGATCGCTTTTCTTTGATGTTTTCAAGGTGGTGCTTTGGACTGGAAAAGGCTTCATATTAGTTGATACATGACCCTACTTGACCGACAATTAGATAGTAACATTCGATTTGTCAATTAAAACATAGATATACAATTGGCTGTTCTATTTCTTTATTGATCAAAGATACGTTTCTTGAAACTAACGATGCATTTTCCTTTGTTTTTCAGTGCTTTAATAAATAAGTGATGACACGAAAAAAAAAATACAAGAAAACATTGAAATAATACATGTTTTAAATCTAAAAATATTCGAACGGACTATGACAGAGATACTCTGACACCATTAATGATCATAAATATTCGACGTTACACATTGGCATGCACTGCACATCAAGCTCCTTGCAACATTGTTACGTCAAACAATGGTTGTTACGTACGACGTCACTATATCACTCTGATAAACAAATCTTCAAAAAATCCTCCGGCACAACAAGCTTGGCACTCAAAGGGCTAGATAAATGGAATGGAAATGATAAATATCTGTCAGAAACTGTAAGTACTCTCAGATATGTACTTAGTGTATTTTTTGTTGTTGGGGATGAGGGATGGATAAATACCCTGACACGTCCGGTCTGCGATTTTGTTTGGTGTGTTTATGCTATGTATCGGTCAAATGAGTTAAGCCTTTTTCAACTGATTTTACACCACTGTCCCAGGTTATGGGGAGGGTTGAGCGCTCACAAACATGTTTAACCCCGCCACATTCTTTATGTGCCTGTAATAACAAGTCAGGAGCCTGTTGTTCAGTGGTTGTCGTTATATGGCATGTCTGGCAGATTTGTTTTTCGAAATTGTTTTGTTATGAATTGTACCGTTAGTTTTCTCAATTGAATTGTTTCATATTTTTCATGTCGGGACCTTTTATAGCCAACTATACGGTATGAGTTTTTCTCATTGTTGAAGGCCGTACGGTTGCCTATAATTGCTTACACTTCATTTGAACTTGGTGGATAGTTGTCTCATTGTCAATCATACCACATCTCCTTATTTTTATGCATGTATGGTTGTCGTCTCGCTTTGAATTATCAATAACAGAAATTGAAGTAAAGGCTTTATGTATATACTTATATATAATTAGGATCGTTCGAATCAGTTGCGTAATACATAATTCTTTATTGTCATATAAGTACAACATTATACTTTTGACAAATACAAATAATAACAACAACAAAATATATTTGAAGGATTTAGCAGGACTACTAGTTTTTCAGTTTCAGAAAGATTTGAGAATATGAGGATTATCTAATGCGATGCCATTAAAAAGTTTAATACGTAATATTTTATTATTTTGACAGTAGAGGAGAAAGTGGTTTTCATCTTCTATTGTTTTACAAGTTAGACATGTTCTTTGGTTTCGAGGTATAAGTATCTGCCCTTTTCTATAAGTAAATTATGGTCACTTATTCTATTTTTGTAAATAAACGTCAAGTTTCAGAATTTGGATATATAAGATAAAATTCTTGGTCTTGTTTGACTTTAATGCTTTTATAAAGAAAAAAGTTTGTTATTTTTGTTTAAACTATTTATTTTATTTTCAAGTAATTCTGAGTACAAGCTGCTTGAAATGTTTTTAATCCAAGTCTTTAGTTTTTCTTTACACATTTCATATTTTGACATGAAACTATTTTTTGTATATCAATATTCATTTCTTGTGTAGAATCTTTGATGAAAGTGGGGCATGTGTATAAACTCCTTGTGAGTCAATTATTTACTTAATGTATAACTTTCTTTTAGAAATAGGTTTATATTTTCAGTATTTAATCTAGCCAAATAACGGATTGCTTGCGTTTTTATATATTTTTCTATTGGCTGTCTACTAAGTTCAGCTTTAACCCTTAAATTAGAAGAGGTCTTTATGGTACCTAGAATGTTTTTACAGAAATTAACATGAACCTTTTCAAATATTGGAAAATATAATTAGTTAATATTTGTTTCCATAGTTTAATCATTCTTTGATTTAAGATACTGCTAAATAGTTGGGATATACAATTAATTAAAGAAATTCCTCTGTAATTGCTTGGATTGCATTTGTCACCTGACTTATGTACTAAAGTTATGTATGCAGAATTCCATGAAGTTGGATAGTATCCCGTTTTGTTTTTTAAAATAAGTTTAAATAATTTAACATATGCTTTGGTAGTTACTGGACTACAAAATTTAATTACCTCATTAAAGACCCGTCCGCTTGCTTTTCTATTTTTTAAGATTTTTATTACACCTTTAATTTCAGAACAAGTAATAGGGCTGTTAGTGTCCGGGTTAAAAGAAATAGTATCTTCAATATTTTTTTGATTTTATTCAATTTTAATTTGGAAGTCATTATTTATTTTTGGAAATTTTCCTTCATTTTGGAAATGTTTTATTGCGCTTTCACTGTCCTTTAGCATTACTTTTAAATCTTCATCTCCATCTATATTTTTGTTTTCTAGTGATTTTAGTATTTTTCCAATATTCTTGTGGAATTTTATTCATTGAATCTGAAAGTTTGTCAAAGATTTTCTTTTTATATTATATTTTTTTTTTGTTTGGTTAACTTTCTAAAAGATTTGAGTAAACACAAATATTTATGATTCAGTAAACAGTTAAAAGGATTTTGTCTTAATTCTTTACCAACTGCATTTATTGACTTTTTATATTCATACTAGAACACACCAGCGGGTCAATGACTGAATTAAAGTAAATATGCCTTATTTCTAGCATCGATTTTTAATATTCGTATTGTCATCTGATAAAGTAATGCAGATTGGAAGATGTACAGTTTTCTCTGCTTTTAATATCTTTCTATTTGAACACGTCCCCCGGCTTCTTTTCTTACCACAATAAACTTACAATAAACAAAATTTAACTTTTTTTTAACTATATATATATATAATTAATCAAATTTATAGGGTATTGAAGTGGAAAAAAACAGAGGCGCGACATATTTTAGTTGCCTGTACGTCTTAAAATTTTCACCAAAATAAATAAAGTGCATAATTTCTTATTTTTTTTCACACAAGTACAGCTATACTAGTTTTCTTCAGGTTTAATTTGTAGTTCTGTAGTAACATGACACCAGTATGAGCTTTTTTTGGAACCAGTAAGTGGTAAGGGGTCCCTACTTATTCAATTAACTCATATAAAGCTGAAATAGAGATAACATTAGGGGTTCCTTTACATTGATATTTTTTTTGGTAAGAAATAAGTGAAGACTAGTATTCTTTATTTAAGGAATGACTGTAATATTTTTTCTGTCTATGAAGAAATAACATCAAAAATGTGGTGCACACTGAATAACCCGCGTACACTAGTAATTTTTTTTGAGGCCCTTTATAGCTTGCTGTTCGGTGTGAGCCAATGCCCCGTGTTGAAGGCCGTACCTTGACCTATAATGGTTTACTTTTATAAATTGTAACTTGGATGGAGAGTTGTCTCATTGGCACTCATACCACATCTTCCTATATCTATCATTATCCCTATGGGCCAGGAAATACTACCGTGCCACCTACAGAAGGTAACAGGAAACTTCATGTGACATAATATACTATTGGTATCGGTATCGTATTGTTGATTATTGGGATTATATAGTATGTGGAAAATCGTCGTTTTTACGTCATGCCGGCTATAACAAATTGGACCTCGTTATTTTAGTAGTATAGATACTTAAATATCTGACCATTTTTACTTCTTTTTTATATTTCTTTTGAATTTTGATTTACCTCTAACATGTCTAAGTGTACAAGATTTTTCTGTTAAGTTGTATAAAATTAAATCGAGCTCACTAGTCGCCTGATCTATCCCATTTTGACTTTCCGAGGCTGCATATTTCTTTGTTTCAAAGTTTATAATTTCCTAAAATATAAAAGTTTCAGATGAGAGATTTTGGATTAATACATGTAGTTTTTTGGAGTTTCAATTTGTGCATGATCTGAAAGGTATTTGATTCCATTAGTTTTAAAGTATATTACTGAGGTCAGGAGACTCTTACTTACAATAGCATAATAGACTGTACTCATACCATTGGGCGTAAAACATGTAAAATATCCCAAGGAATCACCAATGTATCTGCCGTTAAGTATACGTAGTATTGATGACAGGCATAATTCTAAAAGATTGTTACCTTGTGCATTTAGTACTTTATCTTCAACGACTTGGTTATTGATCCACATTATAATTTTGTGGTAAAATATTTTGACAATGTATATTAAATAAATCTTGCGTCAGCAGGAGTGGATTCAGGCGGGGGCGTGGCGGGCGTGTGCCTCTCCTAAAATTTGCAAAGCATGGATTGTGCTCAACTTAATAAAGAATATTTCGATAATTTTACCCCAAAAAAATTTTCGCCTCGCTCATCATTTTCTATAAAATCTGGATGACTGCTAGTGCGGGATAAACAAACCGCTTGTTAATTGATATTTTGCGTGATATTATCTTATCCCGTGTTTCTTTTTTACAGCACAAATGGTTACTGTTGGCTGTTTACATGATGAAATTTGATAAAATTTTATATTGTACTACAGTTTTGATATTCGGATGTACTATGTTGTCGTCTGCTTGCAAAGTTTCCTTTGCGAGTGATAAAGTGAAACTGGCCAGAAACGAAAGACTAGAAAAGACAATTCTGCAAACCGGGAACACGCTGGAAACAATACTTAAAAGGACTGATAAGATGCTCAGACAAAGTTTGAAAAACGTTTGTGAAGGTATGATAGACATACGAAACGGAATATGAATTGCATGCCATTTTTATTCAGTTTCAGAAATTGACTGAGAATTTACATCTGTGAGACTTTCGTACATGATCATTGTCGAAAGCTTCGTTCGTGTACTCAATATTTTTTTTATTGGGATAATGTTTTATTGACTCCAAATTTAATATTTTTATTGCAGATAGGAAACTGGTTTTAAGAAATTAACCAAAGTCTAAAAATATCATTTCGCCATACCAAGAAAAAAGTTGTTGTTTCACGGTGGCAGATTTTTTGGTGGTTATATTGGTTAACTTATTCACAATCTGTTTATACTATTTGGTAGAGACCCGGTGTTTATTATTTGTATTTTATTATACAGTTATGGCCAGTAGAAAAGGTGAATATTCAAAATTGTTAACACACAAAGGTTATTTCACTGAGGGTGCTGGGTTGTAAAAATGTAGGGTTATTCATCCTTCCTTGCATTTGAATGAAAATTAACTGATTTATTCCATGTCACGTGATGAGTGTTAACCAATATAATTGTTTATAATATATATGTAAAGTATAATAAAGACATTTGTCTAATTTTGAAGTTTGTGCGTTGTCGTCTACTCTATATTTTTTTTCATTTGATTAATTGTAATATCGTGTTGCTTCCGTATTGGCGTATATCCTGGTTCTCCAAATACAGATAATGTTTAGTCGATTAAAGTTTGATTTTGATTAAGCCTTACAACATTCGCTTTTCAAAACGTACAACTTTGCACACGAACTTTTCTTTTCTGAACAATTGAGTCACGACGAATTGTATATTTATAAATATTGCGGGGAAGTTCAACGACTTTTTTTTTCTTAAATCCGCTTCCAGGTGATATGCGATTGGAAGATGTGTCTTACAAGAAAATGACAGGTCAAAGTTCAAAGATAGTTAGTCGTTACCCTTCACGCAATGCTGTTGACGGCGATCTATCTACAATGTTTATCACGAAATTTGACAAGAAGCCATATTGGTGGGTAGACCTCGGATCTTCCTTCTCAGTTCATCATGTTGAAATTTGGAACAGATCAAATGGCGCCGGTAAGTAGATGAATCCCTGATGTTGACAAAAATGTACAAAATCGGGAATAAAAATACTGGAAATCAAGGTACCGGTATCTATTAGAATAATATTCAATGGTCATGTTTTCTGAATATTTATCTGATTAAAATTCAGATCTATCGTAACTCGCTTACGAGCATAAAGAAATCAGAGATATTTTAAATATCGAATTGATGACTGCTGATTTGTTACATGCACTTTGCAAATGATAGCGGACTGTTGAACAGAATGGAGCCCTGAACTTTCATTTATGAAAAAAAAATGTTCGGAATTATTTACAGACATTTTTGGGGCAATGGGGTTAGATGAACTATTTCAACAATCGAGGATGGCAAATCGTCTGAACGTATGTATATACATGATATAAAAAAGGTATTTTTTTACTAAAATGAGAAACGAAATCGAAACGAAACAAAACATATGAAGTTTGATAAATTCATTTAAAAAAAAAGGTTTAAAACGTAAATGGATGGGTAATGACTCGCAGGCAAACTGTATAGGTCACTTGTGCACTTATCAATTCAGTCTTAACTTAAAAACAAACTAAGATTATAAAAAATTCCAGTACATACACACTAAAGTACAAACCATCTATATATTCTTTATAACTACACCTTTTCTTTCTCCTGCATTAAAAAGCACAACCGAAAGAATAATTCTCAGATATTTAGTGAAATTATAAAATTTCTGGAATGAAAGAATAATACAATTGTCTGTAATACGGATTGCATTAAGCAGGAACTTCTTACTCTTCCGAAGGCACAGGAGTCGGTTTCACAAAAAAAACTTACGACTAAGATTGATCGTAAGTATACTGAATTGTTCATGACTTACGATCAAACTTAGTCGTAAGTTTTTTTGTGAAACCTACTCCTGGAGTTTATCCCTGTATTTTTTGTGAAGGGGTTCAAGGGTGCTATTGTTTTTGGTCTATTTTTTGTGTGCCAAATTTCATCAAATTATATTTGTTCCATATCAAAGTAGTTGTGCGACCTTGTCTAGAATGTACTTGTACTAAACAATATCGATAATTTCGTGATAAGGAACTGCTGATCCCTAAGTAACATATTTAACACGACGGGTGCCACATGTGGAGCAGGATCTGCTTACCCTTCCAGAGCACCTGAGATCACCCCAAGTTTTGGTAGGGTTCGTGTTGCTCAGTCTTTAGTTTTCTATGTTGTGTTTTGTGTACTGTAGTTTGTCTGTTGGTCTTTTTCATTTTTAGCCATGACGTTGTCAGTTTATTTTTGAATTACGAGTTTGAATGTCCCTTTGGTATCTTTCGCCTCTCTTTAACATATATTCCGTCTCTGGTTTTTGTGGGGTTCAGGTTGCTCAATCCTTATTTTTCTGATTGTTGTATATTTATTTTTATTATTCCCCAGCTTTTACCTCAAGGTTATTGTTTTCATGTTTATACTCTTTTGCAACTTTCAGTTATTTTAACGCAAAATTACCCGTCCTCACCAACCAACATGCTTTTCCCATAACAACTGAAATGATCTCATTTTTCGGACCATTGGGGTATCGGACTATCTTTTCGTTTAATAAGTTTTTTGGTATAAAATCTTGTAATAAGCTTAAGTTATTAATCCGAAATCCTTGAAAAGCGATGCCGCGGTGATCACCGCGCATTTTACATTACACAAGCAAAGTAGCCTACAGTTTTGATCCCACGGTGAATTTTTGACGAAAGTTTGCATACAAGCTTTTTTTCACCTAGTCAATTCAGATATGGTATATAAAAAATATACCTTCATGTTCTACTTTTATAGATAAATGGGGTCGAAATTTTAGACATTTACTGAAAATTTCGTTTTTTTTTTACATTTCTATCCTTTGAATAGACATGATACCTAACCTTTTTGTTTCAAAAGATAAACAAAAGCGGATTTTTGATAAAGCATCTGGAATATCTTCTCTATATGAGTGTGGTCTAAATTTGTATAACAATTCTTTAGAAATAATTAATTTTTATCATAGTTTTATGATTTTAGAAAAAAACGGCATTTTTTTGCTGTATATTTATCTAATTTAAAAAAATTTCATCGGTGACTTTTTCACAAAATTTGGTACAAATAATCTTCATACGTAATCAAAGCTAATGTCATTTTAAAAAAGTAGGGGTCCATGAACTCGTTTTCAACTTAAATCAGTCTGAATGATAAAAATCTGTCGAAAAACTATCTTTTCCTGATATGTCACAGTTTGACGTCGCGAAAATAACATTTTACGTTCGCAACGTCATTACCTCCCCTGTAACTGTATCGTATGTCCTTAAATTAACAAACGTAGATGAATTTTGGGTGTTTCGTCTTAAGTTTCTGGCAAGAACAAATTGCTACTTTATTCCGCATAAAATTGAAAGATGGCGATACATGTCAACATGTTGTATTGAAAAATCTGTTTTGCATATATTGTTGGAATGCCAGGCATATATAGTGATATTTTGAACGTTTCTTTTCTGATATTCACGAATTCCTTCTCAGTGCAGGAACTGGTATATTTGATCAGAGTTGCCTCATGATTATGTATTTATACTGCCTGCACAGTGTTAAACGTTTTCGTTTTCATTCTAGGTACTAGACTCCGTAAATTGGATATTATGGTTGGTCCAACTTTAAGTAAAATGAAGCTATGCACTCATTACAAAGGCCCGGCAAAAGATGGGGAGCACCTTGTTCTGAAGTGCAGTAAACCTACAAATGGACGGTATGTCAAGCTTGCCATGGGAGTCCAAGAATGGTTCCACCTTATGGAAGTTAAAGTGTTTGCGTATTCCAAGACTTGTTGAATTAACTTCTTAAATATGAAATCTGCTTTTTTTTGTTTGTTTGTTGTTTTTGTTTTATAAGAGAATGCATATATCATTAGACAATATGCATTTTAATGCCTTGTGCACTCTTGCATGCATAAAATATGGCGTGATGTATGAGTACATTATTTTAATATGTTTTGAGGCTCTCATGGCTCAAAGCATGTGCTCCTTCTTGGGAGTTCCCATTTGGCTTCGCGGTATGTCTATATTTAATGAATTAAAAAAGAAATTAGCAGTATCCTGTATGAGTGCCAATGAGACAACTCTCCATCCAAGTAACAATTTATAAAAGTAAACCATTGAAGGTCAAAGTACGGTCTTCAACACGGAGCCTTGGTTCACACCGAACAGCAAGCTATAAAGGGTCCCAAAAATAGTCTGCTTCATATCTTGATTTACATCTAGAAATTGACAATGAGGACCCGTTGAAAAAACTTTACGACAAAAGGGATGATTTAAGCTTCCCAATTGTGAACTTTTCATTTCTATGTAGCAACATTCCAACAGCGCCTGCATACGGAGTATATATCTCCTAGTTGGTTGATCTTTATGTAATATCCGTTTCACAGATGATTAAGAAATAATTCATGGGGGCTTGAATATATCGTGATTTTACCACGGGTTGGCCCTTTATGACAAATATTTTACCCTGAGCGATAGCGAGGGGTAAAATATCGGCATAAAGAGACAACCCGTGGTAAAATCACGATATATTCAAGCCCCATGAATTATTTCGATTCTAATAGGACAAATACGGCCATTCTTTTGGATCGAAGCGCTCTAGGTGAAGGCATTATTTGCCGTTCCCATAAATAAACGCACTAAAATTGACGTAAAAGAAAGGAACAAACTGATTAAATGGCATGCTTAAACTATTTACAATGACATATTTAGATAGGTTTGGATGAATCTAAATGATAATTGTATTCATATGTCTTATATGTAAACAAAAAATGGCTTATATAACACATTTAAGCATCGTTTCACTTTGTTTACGTTTCCTTGTTGTGATGATTTTCGGTTTTAAAAGCGTGTATTTTCCCGTAAAATGCTTATATTCTTACGTCACGTTCTATGACGTCGGGTAGCTCATTCATAAAAAAGCATATGACGCGGGAGTACGATCGGAACAGCCCAAACAATATATACATAGCTTACCACTGGTGTGTACTCAAAGCGTTTGAAGAACGTCATGTTAGAATAGCGGATATAGTCCAATTGTCGTAATCCGTCTAAAAAAACTATATGTTGTTGGTATATGAATTTCTGTTTTAATGATGTAAAATAATCATGGGGTCACCGACTTCGTTTTTACGGTGTACATCATTCAAAGAAGTATTCTAGGTGAAAAAAATACCACAAAACGTCAAAATAAGCGTTATATAGGCCGTAAAACGTCGATTTTTGACGTTTTTTTACTACCAACTAGACAACGAATTGGCAAATACCATAAAAACGAAGTCGGTGACCCCATGATTATTTGCATCATTAAAACGGAAATTCATGTACCAACAACATATAGTTTTTTAAGAAAAATCTATGTAATAGAAATTTGAGATTTTATGATTTTAAGACAAATTTAAGAATGTTTTTCGCTTATTTTATGTGCTTTCTAAAACAATATTCACCTATTTTAAAAGAATACAATCAATAATATTTCAGACAAAAAAAGAGATAAATGCATTATTTTTTCGATTTTCAGTTATATTTCAACGAGCCAAAGTTGTATCCAAAATTATACCAAAATTTGAGACATAGCCCATTTACTGTTGCTTGACCTTAAACTAGCCAGTGTATATATATATATATATGTTTCCAAATACCGTTTTGATCCCTAACATCACTGAAGAGACATTAATTGTCGAAATCCGGATATGGTGTATAAATTTTTTGCACCTCATGTTTGCGATTTACCATCTTTTCGCAAGTTTATTGTTTTCTGTTTGGTATTAAAATTATTAATTAAGATCCATGTAACATCTGGTGATCAATTCATTTGGCAATCGCCAATGGCAGTCAGCAGGGTTTAAGAACATCAGTTGTTCGACCTGCTAGTCAAATGCGTTTTGTTAAAATATACTTTTCACTTTTTGGTCTTTTGGAAAATGTTGTTTGTGCTGTATTTAGACCCCTCTACCAAGAAATTTGTTTTACATGCACACGTATAAAAATTGCGGTTTTTATCCAACGCAATCATAGGTTTGAACGTTGTTTTCAATTTAGACTTGTATATATATATATATATATATATATATATGCATGGACATATCTTGAAGTCTAGTGCATTTGTTATTCGCTGTTTTTTCCAGTTTCTCAATTTTGGTTTAAGCATCACTGCCGATATGGTCAGTGTAAGCTTTTAGAAAAAAAAAGTTGGACATGGTTCAAAAGGCAACATCCACATACAAAAATATCCAACTTTTAGTCTACCAATAGCTGCATGCTGTGATGTTATCTGTCGCAAGAGAGAGGAATGGGAGAGACAGAAATGATTTCTTTAACAAGAAAAAATTATTCCAAACATTGAACAGCTGCTGTTTCATTAAGAATCCAAGTCAGTTTTTCTACATCTTATATGAAAAAAAATTAGGTAAAATCATGCCTCTTTATATATAACAATTTAATTTCTGATCTTAAATACCAAACAGACATTTAGGTTCACGATTGCATTTCTTTTTTCAAAGAAAGCAACTTGTCGTGTTCATTAACCGGACCATACGCGTATGGTCCTCGAGGTATGGTCATATGCCTATGGTCCAAATACTCATATTATCTGGAACATACATATACAAATAGTTAATACTATATATATGTGTGTATATATGCATGCTCGGAAACGGGCCCTTTAGTTGGATTTACAGTAAAGTATCCGTATTCGTATATGTATATGTTGTGTACAAGTTATCATTTTGTACAAATAATTTGTATTTTGACTTTTTATAAATTGTAATTTGTACAAAAAGTGCTTGTACAAATTACAATTTGTACAAAATTTGACTAAACTTCACTTATAACTTGTACAATATTTTATAGTATGGATTTTGTTATAAACAAGCATATAATTTGTACAAAATGATAACTTGTATACAACATATACAACTCTACCACTGGTACCTAGTAGAACAAAGACGTGCAGAAGAAATATTTACTATACTACTGTTGATGAATTGTTGTTTTCTTGACTTCTGGAATAGTATTTTCCTGCAAATAATTGTATTTTGTATAAATTTTATGTATATAGAAGATCGTCTATGGCGCGGGAATATAGTGGCATAAATAATAATACAATTCCATAATTATTTAGCCATCGCATATATAACTCTTTTTAGAGGGGTTTCTCTTTGTTTTATATGTGAAGTTGTAATAATGTGTAAATGTTTTGTAAGAGGTGAGACTTAAATAAAATATTGTTTTGTCTTGTCTTGTCTTAGATATAAGAAGATGTGGTATGAGTGCCAATGAGACAACTCTCCATCCAAGTCACAATTTGTAAACGTAAACAATTATAAGTCAAAGTTATGGCCTTCAACACGTAGCCTTGGCTCACACGGAACAGCAAGTTATTGTCTACGTACAATTATGCCATCGCATAAATTAATTATGCGATGGCATTAAAGTTACAACATGCTAAATAGGAGGCAACTACTGTATGTTCCATTCTGATGTGCTGTTTTGATAATTAGAGGTAGCTTCATGGCTAAAGTCGACATATAAATATGAGATCGGTCTTTGTTTTGAAGAATTTTAATGAAATGAATCATGATTATTTCTTTTTGTAGCCAGTTTGAAAATAGTTCAAAACCTTAAGCTATATTATTATTTGTTAATCCCGAACTAAAACTATTTTTGAAAATCAATTACACTAGTTTATATGGTTTGGTCATTAGTTTGTTAAAACAAATATCACTTTTTCATTTCATAACTTATGCTTTTGTAAATTATGAAATAATGAAGTTAATAATTTGATGTTATATACGATTGTGCGAAAGACAAGACAAGACAAGACACGACAATGTTATTCTTTAAAACCACTGTATACTTATTGGTTAAAAGAATGAAATAATAAAACATACTAGTAGTATACAAAATAAATTGTGCACATGACAAGATAAGTATGTTACAATTACTATATACAAGATCATTCAGTTATTATGATTAAAAAACAGATAGACAAAGTTAAGGCTAACCAGGAAGACCTGCTAGCGAATTTATAACCTTTATAAATTTGCATATATATTTTTTTAACTTATTTCTATGTGTTGTTTATAATAATTTACAAAATTTGATTATATTTACTCTGTTACAATAACATTTATCTAAAAACAGTTTTCTTGAGTCGTCTAGAGATCTACAATTCAAAATAAAGTGAAATTCGTCACCTAATTCTTGACATTTTGACATAACTTACAATATCTTTTTTGTCTATCTAAACCTACCCATTTATCAGTTTTAATTGGTAATCTATGATTACCAGTTCTAAATCTACAAAATATAACCTATCTCTATCTGGTAATATATCTAATTATTATACCTCAGATATCATTTTCTAAATAAAATTAATAAGTACACAAAATTTTCACTATTTTTCAAATTGCAAGCGTTGAACTATTTGACCGGTCAATAGTTTCCAACTATTTGCCCTCGATGAAACTATTTGACCGCAAGCGTCATTATATTTTGCGGAATTTCAACTGCAGCTACGGGATTGGAGAATGTTGAGAATACCGCGGGAGTTACGATAAGCCTTTTGACGAATTACATACATCTGAACGCCAGTTTTGTTGAAATTGGTCAAATAACTTTTGTTTTAAACCATCATTTAGCCATTTTGTACTGAAGTCAGTTTGTACTAACCAGATATTACTATAACCACAAGTATCAGGAATATTTTTTATGAAAATAACCCATTCAGACGTACAATTATTCTGTGAATATTTTAAAAACATAAACATGATAAAGTTATACAAAATGTGTGACAACTTATTTTCTTTACCGTAAACAATTCTAG